AGCTGATCTGGTTAGGACCAGTGATGGTGATGCTGATTTAGATTGGGGGGCACATAACCTCGTTATCTCCACACTGATATATACCTGCCTCTGGAGATTTCCATTACTTGCATCTGAAGAAGTGAGGTTCTTACCCACGAAAGCTTATGCTCCCAGTACTTCTGTTAGTCTCAAAGGCGCCACAGGACCCTCTGTTGCTTTTTACAGATTCAGACTAACACGGCTACCCCTCTGATAATTTTTTTGAGTTAATCACGTGCGTTAACTGCAATTAATTGACAGTCCTAACAACTACACATGGGGCACCTCAGAAAATAATACGCTATCATCCATGCCCTTCAAATAACAGTGCCTAGAATCCATCCCTGTAGAGTAATATACAGTAGTGAGGACTGCAGCTGTTCTTTCATCAGTTGTGGCCTCACTGAGGAAGCCACTGATGGGAAGGGAGGGTTGGTGCTATCTTTAAACAAATCTAAATAAGTCTGTTAAGGAACTGGGTGAGAACTGGCCCGTGTGGCCTCTCACCTCTAAAGCACTGGATGAAAATTGTCAAGGTTGTTAATGATCAAAAGTCATTAATGTCTGACAGCGCTTTGCCCTAGACGTGAAGTGAGTTTTAGTGGTCTCAATCCAGTTCCTATTGGCCATCAGCCTCCTGACAAACTGCTCAAGTGGCTCGTAGCTGGGAAAAGCGGGTCCAGTCCAGTCGGCGCAAGTCTACACCTGATACAATAATTAGGTTGTGTCGGTGGGAATTTTGTTTTAAATCTGAAGCAAACCTAGTATTTTGAGGATTGGAGATGTATTATTCAGACAAGGTATTGCCAAGGGGAAATAGCTGCTTATATTAAAACAAAATTCCTACCTGCAGCACACAACAGGTGTCTCCAAGCCATATAAAAGCTCAAATCTGTGACCATTTCAAATCAACAGCACAGAATATTGGATTTAGGATATGGTTGATAATAGCCCTCCCATTTTATCTGGTGTATGCAGGGAACCATCTGCAGGGATGTACTGGCAATGTGCTTTTGTGGCCCTTGTGAGGTATGCAGAATGGCTCGTGAAATGAACATCCGCTCTCCACACTAAAGGTAAAGAGCACTGCGAAGGTGGGTGAAATCCCAGACAACGCCATTGACCTTCTTCACTAGGGAAGAGGCAGCAACTTTTCATAGAATCTCAGGGTTGGAAGGGACCTCAGGAGGTCATCTAGTCCAACCCCCTGCTCAAAGCAGGACCAATCCCCAACTTTTGCATGACTGCCCAAAAGATCTCATGCGTTGACTGCCCAAAAGATCTCACGCCTTTCCGGTGGTGGGGATGCAATATTTCCATTAGAGGATGTGGCTGCAGGCTGAGAGGATAAAATCAGCACGTGTTTGTTGATGGCTGATAAACGTTGAGTGGTGGAGGGGCTGGCTGGGGCTGTGAAGTGCAGGGGTGGGTGGGGTCTGTAGGAGGATCTGCAGTAGCTGAGATGGATTTTGTGGGGGGTCAGGAGGGGGGGACATGAGGAGTGGGCAGTATTTGATGGTATAGGGGTGGGGTATTGGGGTCTGTGGCACAGAAGGGTGTGTGATGGGGGTTGGGTTGGAGGGAGGAGAGTATGTGAGGGGAATGGGGTGGGGGGAATAGAAGGGTAAAGGGGGGTCACGGGGTGGGGAGGGGCAGAGGGGTATGGGAGGGGGAGAGAAGGGTAAGAGGGTTATGGGGAGGGGGCAGAGGAGAATGGGGTGGGAGGGAAGAAGAATATGGGGGGTTACAGGGTAGGGAGGGGCAGAGAAGGGAAAGGGGTTACAGGGTTGAGAGGGGCAGAGGGGAATGGGGTGGGAGGGAAGAGAAGGGTAAGTGGGGGGGTTACGGGAGTGGGGAGGGACAGAGGAGAATGGGGGGGGGGGG